ACTTCTAACACCAGGGTGATTGGAACGGAGCTGGTGCTCACACAAATTACAGGTATAATGCCAATTCTTTGTTGTCAAGGATTTGCCTGTCTTGGTCAAACTATTGTTTTCCTATAGGATGACATCTGAACTGTTGTATTTCAGTACCAAGTCCATGAGAGCTAATGGAGGCTTTGAAGTCATCAAGAAAGCCATTGAAAAGCTGGGACTAAGGCACAAAGAACACATTGCTGCATATGGAGAAGGCAATGAACGCCGTTTAACAGGAAAGCACGAAACAGCTGATATCAACACTTTCAAATGGGTAAAACTAAAAACAACCTCATTCTTTTGTGTCCTTAATTTCATAATTGTATTCTTTGTTATATAAACAGTTGCTCACTTTAATTACTGTCAAATGATGGACAGGGTGTTGCAAACCGCGGTGCCTCAATCCGTGTTGGAAGAGACACAGAGAAAGAGGGCAAAGGCTATTTTGAGGACAGGAGGCCGGCTTCGAACATGGATCCATATGTTGTCACTTCGTTGATTGCAGAAACCACCCTTGTGTGGAAGGCATAAGCTCTCTCAGCTACACGCCTGTGGTTGTGACAATATCACCATATCCTTCAATGGGGTTGGAAATGTGTTCTACCAGATCCTTTTTAGCAGGATCCTTCTGTGTCTTAGCTACTTACTAGAATTAGCCTTGTCTTCAATTTGTATTGCGTTTTTCATTTTCCCCTGTATTAAAGGGTGCCAAGATGAGGTCATTGCTTCATTGCCTCATGATTAAGCCCGTTGTCTTCAATAAGTATCTGATATGGATAACATGTTTCAAAGGGCTGGTTTTAATTGGGATTTTTGTTTTTGTATAATGTAATTTTAATATAATCTCCCTCCCCATTTGGTTCTGGTCATGTTTTATTTCTCAACAGCTCTGCAACTTGCTGCATTATAACTTGAGCGACATGATACAATTGATGGCCCTTGTATTTTAGACCTAGGGCTATTCTGGGAACAAGCTGCAAACGCATGACGTTATCTCTAGTGCTATTGTCGCAAGCTATTCCTATTTTCCCACCTGTTCAAGCCTATAATGCCCTTCAGTTCTAATTTCAAGTACGACGGCGGCAATGTCAAAGCAACCTCTTATTCCATGTTTCCTTCTCTACTCCACTATAGATTAGTGGCAGCGCTATTGCCACGTATTTCAACTTCCGCCAACGCAATTCCTCCCATGACGTCTACCCTAATTATAATTTCAGTTATTTTTGGGTAGGGGTGGGTGGGCATTTAAACCAGTGAGTCTGAAAAAACCCTACTGACCAAATAAAAGTCAACCTAGGCTAGACCGACAGTGGCCCTTTTCAGAAAATTAAACACCACATGGGATACGGCACGACTGTATCTTAGTGGTCAAGCCATGCCCCAAATCTTAGGAGGCGGTGGTGGTGGTTGCTAAGAGAGGGAAGGCTCAAAAGGGTTTCACCCCATTTGGAAAGACCTCAGGCCCTCATCTGCCCCCTTAATAAATTATGTAAGGTCATGCTTAGCTAGTACTATTCAGCACAAATATACTCGCTAAAAGCCTAAAATTGCGACTGCTAGCAAGATACAAACATTAAACCAAAATGTCTTAATGCTGACATGATCTTCAGGTAAAATAATAATACAAAATTAACGGAGAAAAGGAAAGGTAGGGATTTTATACCAAGTCCCCAC